ATTAGTAACCAGCCAATATTTATGTGCAACTCATTTTTGGTATGTACCTTTGATATATATGCGTAATGTACACCCATGTACCCACGTATAGCTTTCCCACTCTGTAGTTATGTCCTTGTACAGTAATGAGGAGTAAACATTTAAGTATTAACATTATTAATGCAAATGTAAATATTTTGAAGCATTTGGTACAAAATAAAGAATAAAAATTAATAAATAAATGAAATAAGAATAAAAACACTATATATTAAACAATAATAATGTATATACATATAGATAATATATATTAAAAAAATAATAAATCTATATAGGTAGGTATGTATGATAAATAAAATTTACTGGTATGTAGAATATGTATAAATAAATTAGTCTTGAACTCATATATTTATGAATTGTTCAGTCCGTTCATAGTCCATTTTACCGAGAATCTCATCCAGTGCCCTTCTGCAAGCATGTCTCGTCATATCTTTTAAGGGTTTTACTTTACTTATACGATTGTACAATAGTGGAGCTAGGAAAAAGGAGCAACTTTGTGCAAATGTTGTTTTACAGGCTGGGACATCATACACCTCATACACCTCATGTGATCTTCTGGAAGATTTATTTAATGGCCTTTTTTTGATATGCTGTTTTAGCACTATACTCTGTATAAAAAGTTGACGAACGTTTAAAACCCCAAATTCTTTGTATAGTTCAGTCGTGGGAAACGTAAACTTTTTGAAGTGTATGACCTTTAGGATACATCGATGAACCCTTTCTATTTTTATGATATTACTTTTTCCAGCACCACCCCAAGCCGAAATACTATAAGAAAGTATAGATCGACACAATGTGAAGTAAACAGTTTCGTTAGTGGATTTGTCCCTTAAATTCCTAATCTTTTTGAAAATTGGTATGAGTTTACGAATGCGAGTTTTTAAATTACTTATGTGCTGTTTCCAGTTCAAACTTTTATCAATCTCGATACCAAGATATTTAGTACTGTCCGTTGCGGACAACAAGAAACAATCACAATCATTGGTATTTTGACAATCAATGTCGTGAGCCTTTAAGACAAAATCGGTAGGCGGTTGTAGATTATTTTTATACTAAAAGTTATATATTTCGTTTTTAAGAGGTTTAACGTCAGCAAATTGTAATCCAGCCATTTAATTATCTGTTGAAGACCCCGCTCGGCGGACGCCTTGACATCAGCCCATGTTTTATGAATGATTCGTTGTAAGCCGTGAATAGTTTACTAATACTTTTTTTTTCTGTTTTCAGATTTCCTGAGCCACGGGGCTAGTTTCAACAAAAAATACGGTTAGTAGTACATGTTTAAATAATTCTCGTATTATGAATGCATTCGACGCGGGCGCAGTGCTTCGGCGTTATCGTGCTGGAGTATTGGGCACTAGTGGGCACTGGTAGGCACTAGTAAGCAGGCGGGCAGGCAGGGCACATTATTGCAACGTGTAATGTAGAAGATCCAAGCTCGTGGTTATATTGATACTAAGCAAGTTATGCCTGAGCCACTACTACTATATATCGCGATGGTGGCCTGGATGGATGGATGGCCTGGAGGGATGGATGGCCTGTAGTGGGTGTAACAGGTAGTTCATGACTCAAAACTCAATAGTTTAGATTTCCATTTTTGGTGCTCCGTGTACAAAAATGTAGTTAAATCATAAATGACAAGCTTTGCACTACGAGTACATTACGACTAATCGGAAATGTAAATACAACATTATAATGTGAACGCGCTCAAGCATTTTTCCAAACATAGAAAATTATAGTTCCACTCGTGGATAACTTTATCTTATTATCTTCGAAATGATATCAACTAAAGTATAATTATATATTTATTTGTACATTTGCATGAAGATGTATGATGCTAATGGCGGTCTCTGTCGGTCAACCATTGTGTGTTGCAGGGATGTACTTTAACTTATTTATTTAAATGTATCTTATAAACTAAGTGTGTCTACGTTAATTAAAAACTTAGATAATAAGAAAAATAGAATTGTCGTTTAATAACTTCTTTTCAAATACACAATACACTTCATGATTTCCGCTGTTGGTGACCCTCGTGTTTGCGACATTATTTTACCATCATCATCATCATCAGCCCGGGAGCGTGAGGGTCCATTGTTGAGATATGAACCTCCTCAACAAATGAGGAGATTGTCACTAAGTTTTGACATGATTCCGCACCATGATACAAAGCGACACCCCTATATATAAATAAATAATATTAATAGAAGAGTGTTTTAGTCCCTATTTCGTAAAAATACTTGTTCAATTGTTCTCCTCCCCTTAGGGGAATCGCAAAAGTATTTGCGTAAGAACAGCTCGCAGTAAGTTAGCATGTTGAAATACTAAAAATATACAGATTTAAACATAAATACGCCCTGGTTACCTAAACCGGTTGGGAAACAAAGAAGGAAAAAGTTCTGAACTCAACTGCCCTAACCACCAACCATGGGCACAGTTCACATTTTTCTTGAAAATTGTTTTCATTCCGTGAAAATGTGCGTACACTAGTCTGGCAACGTCGGGAGGTCGGGAGGGTCTCGGTGAGTGCGTCCCTCCTCAGCACCCAGGCACCGACTGCTTCTGGCTACGCTGGGAGTGTGCAGCGTGTATAGAGTACCGGGTCGACACGTCGCACGCACGACTTTACTCGATTTTGAACCAGTAGTAACTGAATCGAATTGCTAGCTATAACAAAGCCTTACCTTACAGAAATAGAGAGTCTCGACGTAACGAAACCAAACAAACAAACTTGCAAAGTTCGGATACACATTGAACAGAACGGGAATGTTATTTTTGTAATATTTCTTCAAACACAATGCCCCTTTCGAACAAATAAATACCATTTGACATTAAAGTGTTATTGACTCACAACTGCGACTACCGACCCATCTATGTATCACATTCAATACCCAGTTTAGGCAGTGTGCTAGTGGAAATGATATTTGTCAAATCTCTACCCACCACTATTTTTCAGTATTAACTGCTTAGAATAAAGGAAGAAATAAGTTTTTACAACATAGCCGAGGTACCTCAAGGAAAAATCAATCTCTATAAAGGAGTTCTGTTTTTTAAAACACGTTACTCTACATTAGAATTTTCTCCTGTGTCGTGGGTGTCTTTTACAAACATACAAGTTTACATACACAATGACACCCAGACTCGAAACAACAATTTGTGGATCATACAAAGTGTTGTTCCGTGCGGGAATCGAACCCGCCACATGTTGCACGGCAGCCGGTTGCCCAGCCACCGCACCAACCGTGCACTCAAGTCGTGTTATCCTAGATGCATGCCATTTGATTTATTTCGAGTAAATAAATGAAAGCTTGTAAAGTCTATGTACGGGACTGATACAGACACCTGAATATAAAACTTAATGAACTAATAAAACTGGTCCTTAGTTTTATGTTTCTCTTAGCTTGTCTAACTAGGGCCAGGGGGCTGTAGTGCTACGCGGCGTAGCGGCGTAGCGCTGGCTCCGGCGTAGCACCGGTCAGCTACGCGCTACGACACTGCCGCCCTGTACCTCGTTGCTCATTCTGTACTCTGTACTCTGTGTTACTTCATATTTTTGGATTTTTTATTGAGTTAGGATAGGTATTGATATTGTATTCAGTCAAACATACACAGGATTCTCGTATATCCTAGTGAAACTTATATTAAGCTCTAAGTGGAAATATTGAGTAGAAAGATAAGAATTTACTCAAAATAAGTGACAAAGTTCAATCATATTGTTCCTTAAATAGCTGAGTATTGGTTTAGTGAGAGAGCAATATATGCAAAGAGGTGTCGCTAGGTGGCCGCTGTGCTCAACACGGATTAGTACTTACTTGAGGGGGCGACCACGTGACGGAGCCGCCGCGGCGCCGGTCGGCAGGTGACAGCCAGGAGCTACGCACTCCTACATCAATAAAAGTAAACCGGCTCCTGCATCACAAGTACATGTCGATTTCTTTCCAAACAATATCACATTACACTTTAAAGTATTAAACAAATAGATTTATTGTCGTTTGTTAAGGTGGACTCGTACAATGTCCACGCGACCTGTCAGCCTCCGACTCTGTCTGTGTCGGTCCTCGGGCCTCTGTTTTCCAGCCTGGCTATTTGTATTTATCTCCTTGTTAAGTGGCGGTAATGTATTGGCATTGGCAAATGCCGTGTTCAATTCCTGGTTCTGATACTGAAATTGAAAATATTGGAAACACGTTGAGAGGAACCAACTCGACAATTCGTTTCGGGTTTCCCGGTCAGTGGTGGAGATGATGATTGAGTGGATGATTACCTCCAGTCGACGCCGGCCGCCGACTCGAGCTGCAATCTGAGACACGTTTTACTAATTTGTTAGATTCATCGAGCGCATACTGCAGCCGTTCCTAGGTCTCGTCTTGTACCGGTCAGGGAGTATTCATTGTATTCATTACTTGTATCAGCTGTAAATATTGAATTAGTTTTATGAGTGTTTCATTACTACATCAAGATTGAGCTCGGGCTCAGGCATGTGTTGCCTCATTAAATGAGCATAGAAGTATTATTATTGTTAACACGGATGTTGATTAAATGATTACTTATTTCAAAGAAACTGGTTTTCATTACATGGATAATGCATCAGTTTTGGTGCGAGTAGAGGTCGCGCGGATTTTGAGGCGGCCGGGTATATCCATGACGTCCAGAGAGGGTGGAGCCACCCCCTGGGGCGGGGGTAAGCGGGGCGCGGGGCGCGGGGCGGGGGGGCGCGGCGGGCGCGGGTGCAGCACGTGCCGGCGAGCGTGCGGCGCGCACGTGGCGCTGAGCGTGCGCGCCGCGCGATCGCCGGCTCCTTCATCAATCCTGCCGCGAACAGCTTCAGGAACGGTCGTGTCCGCAGTTCCTCCGCAAGTTGAGTTAACGGTACCGCGATTGCAGCAACGATTGAGTGTGTTAGAACGGAAAGGGGCAGCGCGCGATGCTGGCCCTCTCAACGTTTAGACAAGCACGGATACATAGACATGGGGACTGATTCGGCCAGTGCCGGCGCCGGGGGCTGGTACTCCTTGCCGCAGAACAGTGAGCTCTGTTTCCTGGCACCGCAGCCCCCCGCTCCGCTGGCAGCAGTGCCGACTCGTTGCTCGCAGCTGTTCGCTGCACACCCTGCAGGTATGGCTCCCGGCTCCTGGCCTAGCGCCACAGGTAGTCGCCTGCACTCGAGCTGTGTTATCGTGCACGCGACTGCAGCGCTGAGCGCACACACGCGCAGCGCTGGCCGCGCGCTGTGTGCGTGTGTCGCCTGCTCGCCGCTCGGCCGGCTCGTTGTTGACATCAGGCGGCGCCCCGCCACACTCCACTCATATTATACCTACTTGATTCGTGTTCCCGCATCTCTTGTTTGTGATCGCTCACGCGTACTCCTGAACGTGTCTGCTAGTCATCTTTGTGATTAACATCTCCGTACTCTGATGCTCTCTCGTGTCAAGGAGCCTGTTTGATATATTACGTTCTAGCTTTACAGATACCTGAGTGGACACTTTGCTCATTTGTTCATAAAATAGCAGTCCACAAGACCTCTATTTCTTTTTACTTTAAAGTTTAAAATAACCACATAATAATTAGTTACAAACGACTGACTTAAACAAAACGCAGGCGTTGTTGCCAAGCAGACAATTATCAAACAACTAACTGAACGAATCCAACTAATTCATCCAGTGCAACATAAATGTTAGAAACGCTTCAATAAATAGAGAGACATATAAATATGTAAGTGAAAGAGGAACAGAACAGAGGCGGTGCCGGCGCCGGCGCCACGGTTAGCAATAACATACAACAACAACAACAATAACGAGTAGCTCCAGACGTCTGTCAGGTGTCTGTCGGGTGTCGCACGAGGTGTACAGCAGTGCGGAGTGGTCACTTCTCAGTTGGTGACGATTGTGACGCTAATTTTATTACTAAACTGATATGATTTGTAGTTAAGTTTTCCAAAATAATGAGCAACACTTATTCATATTTCCTCAAATACGCTGCGCTTTAACATGATTTTGTACAACGTAAACAGAATACAAACTCGTAAATACCACAGACCATCGCCTTGTTAACAGTAATAGTTGCAGTTTAACAAAGTAAACATTAACAAAGAGTTCATGATATGAGCCTCTAGACTGGCTCGTAACTATTCGAGTTTCTCAAACACAGTTATGTAAGTGGAAAAACAACAATGAAGAAACACCTAACAAAAGAATTTAATATTAAATTTTTATAATAATTAATTTTTAATTTAGCATGGCTCGCGGACGTTACACTAACAAAGAAATTTAATATCAGGAAGAAAGGAAACATTAATAGCACGCTCGCTCATCACATCAGCTTGTTACCTACTCGAGGTTTTCGGGAACGCTCAGTCGCACCGAGCTCGGAGCAACATCAGCTGTGTATGACATGATTGACATGCCACGTGCAGGCTGCACCTCTACTAATCTCTACGTGAAATAAAAAGTGGAAAGTTATAGCATTATTCATTTGGATGTTAATCTTCTTGAATTAAGTAAAAATAATAAGAATTTAAGATAAACATTAGTTTCCGCGATTGTTTTCTTGGAAATTGGAACAAAAGAATTCTGTCACAAGTTACGCGGGCGAAGTTGGAGGTACAAGTTAGTGTTTCAATGAATTTTGACTACTTCTACTTTGACATACGTATAGGTACGTAACCATAAACAACAAATGATAGAAACAATCGATCTTCTCTTGTAATATCAAACGATAATCTCGGAGTAAATCAATTCGTCAATCTCGCGAGATCTCGTCTATTTTTCAACCGAGATTAATCTCAATAAAAAAAGGACAAGATCTCGCGATATTGTATTTCTTAGTTATGCTTATTACCAACTAGCGCCACTAGCGCCCCCTTCCAGCATTCCTCGGGCGCTATCTACCACCATCTAGCCTTTGCGTTGGATTCGTCTACTATACTATACAGTTACATTAACTAACTGCCTCGCTGGCCGAGTGTTCGCAAGGGCGACTGCCGGGCAAGGGGTCTCAGGTGCAATTCCCGGGTCGGGCAAAGTACTACTGGGTTTTTTAAAACATTCTCAGTAGTAGCAATGAGTCTGGGATTGCGCCCGGTATATGGCAAATGGCTCACCCCCTATTACATGGGACTCATAACATAAATAGTGAAAAGTGGGTGTTGCATTGTACAGTGGCATTAAGTGCCGTAATGTGCACCTCTGCCTACCCCTTCGGGAATAAAAGGCGTGATGTTATATTACTAATAATATATTATTAACTAACTGTATTATAATAAATGCAATATATTTCTCTTCCACAAAAGTATTACAAACATATTAACATACTATCATATACTGCGTGGGTATTTGTTTTGATTTATCCTTTGTGAGAGACAGATTAATGAAGGTAGGTAGGTATAAACTATTACTATACAGTTTAGTTCTACGCGTTGATCGACAATTACGTGAACATATTTTCAGAGTTTCATTTGTATTAATCAGATTTCTTGTAAATTTCATTAAAATGGGATGTTCACCTTCCTCCTTCACCTGTTTCTTTGGTCAATTTCGTTAGTTAATCCCTCAGTACTAAATCAGAATAGTGATATCACACAGTTCCTCAAAGGTTTGTCGAATCAATAATAAAAAATCATGTAATTATGTCAATCGTCATGATGTTCAAACAAACAACTCGTACTGATTTCCGTATGGGATTCCTGTCGTTCTCTATGGCATCGAGAAGGTGACACGATCACACACACCACTCGCCCGACGGCAGTTTGTAGGCAGCTGTTAATGCTACTTAAATACCTATTTTAGTGTTAAAACCAGTAAAAAGTAAGCGCCTAGTAAACTCTTAACAAAACTATTGTATTTTGATTTGTTTGTTGTACACAGAGTTTATCATTTCAATAATTCGATTGATATTTTTATACGATCTTATCGCCACTGCAACCGAAGTAAGTTAAACTACCAAACGTCAATACATAGCCTTACATAGGCCTCTTGTGTGAAATCAAGTACAAACGGGCCGGTAATATCTCAATTCACACTTGTCAAGGGATTTTCTTCCATTTTACAATAATTTAGATAATTTTTGCATTGATCAGCCTGTCAGAAACCGGGTGTACATCATCGAGTTTGATGATGCTCCGTATGTAGTTATTCATTTACCCATTACTTATATATATGTATATTGTTTATATGTACAGATACACACATGTCACTGCCAACCAACTTAATTAACCGTTCAACTAACGGCCTGAATGACTAGCCGATTCATTGAATGGCTGAATAATTTGTGATACATTTAGTTAGTGTCAGTCGATTTTGTTTTTATGAACTTTATTCTTTTAATTGAGAAGTCCCCCCGTTTCTTGACGTTATATGTTATAATATACGGCATGGGTCGCTATCACCCAGTCTCTCAGTTACTGCAACTGTTTTATAATCATCTCGAAACCTTGACTCGTTATGTCGCTTAATGTAACAATGTTCTAATACGTCGTGTGTACAAATACAAAGGACAACATGAAATCTGGTAAAATTTGTTTGTGTCTTTATATTTATAAAAATATCTATTAGCAATCCCCTTTAGGGGTTTTTTTTGAGTTAGGAAAATCATCCAATGACTTCTCTCACCTTGGATGAGGCGAGAAAACCACCACGTTCCTACTTCTGCTTAGAACCGGAGGCCCGGTATCCCCTACCCGGTCCACAACTCCGGATGCATTAGGATGTCTGCGGGTTTCATGGTACATGGTCTAGTCATCCTCTGCACACGTCATACATCACCCCGTCACGTGCACGTATAACATTATGTAAATAAATTAAATAACGAGTTGCGGTAAACCAAAACAATAATATTGCACTGCATCAACCGTGCAGTCAGCGTGTCATGTTATGTCCAGTAGGTACAACTGCTGGCTACGCATCGGTGGTACTCGGGATATTTCTACCGTGCTCCATATGTAGGTAGATTAGACGGTACCTATAGTATTAATATAGGTATATTGGGATATACCCAAATATACACACAGCAAACATCTAGTTTCATATTATTGGTATATTATTTTAATTGGATCATTGAACGATGTCTAGCAACGTAAACGAACATCAGCGGCCGGTACACACACGTTACGGCGACGTCACCGTAGGTACAGCGCGGTGTGCGCGCACGTGACGCGTCATGTGTCGGCGGTACGAGCGCCTGGCGGCCGAGCTCGTGCCGGCGCAGCCTGCGCGCTGCGTCCCCGACTTACACACCAATTATAATCGACTTGTGTTTTTTATTATACTTTATAAACTATTTAAATAGCACCATTCATAGAAGGCTAACGAGAGCCAGCAGTATCATTGGCATCTATCAATATTTCGGGAGTTGGCTCAGGCCGAATGGCTCACCCGGTGTCGTCACAGGACTGCTCCTAGATGTGTAGTGCCTCCGTGGTTGGTTTCGTAATTCTCGCGTGGTTGGTATCTAGGTAATAGGGGATCCAAATTTAACTTATATAAATAATCGTAATATCGATGCGTTCTTGAGATTAATAAATGTAAGTTTGACCGACACGAGTAAGTAATTCCTAAAGGACTGCACACCCTGGAGTCCTAGAGTGTCCTAGAGTACAAACATCCATTTCTGTATGTGACGTAGACCCACTGAGAACTTGTTTCAATGGCATATAGTCACTAGCTGTTTAACAAACTTTCAAAACTGCAACTCCTATTTCACTCCTTATTAAAATTCCTGAAACATGTATTTATTTGTTTTACGTCAATAACTGAAATACAAAAAACTGTATGCAATCATCAGTTAATCCTTAACTGTACAATAAAATTGAAATTTGACAGTTTTTAGTATGGAGGAATTGTCAAATATTGAAAGATAATCCTCAGTTAAAATTCATTTGAGTGTTGATAAATTGGACCTTACTTATACAAATTATTAATCAGCATTTATTTTATAAAATCCTTCTTAGTTTCCGCCTAACGAAGGGAATATAGTTACAATCCGAATTTCATGTTTTTAGCCGTGACAGTTAGCGCTCGGGGATTATGGTTACGTACAGAAACAGAAATGAATCGAAACAGGGTATGATTACGGCGTCAGAAAATGTTATTTTAAAAGTATAGATGTACAAGAAGAACTCGTGAATCAGTTGAGTGTGTCGGACGACGTGCTGGTGCCGGTGGCGGCCCTGCCAGCACACCACCGTCCGCGTCCGGGGGTCCGTCTCAAGCCACTTTCACTACCGGACTGTGCGCTGAAAAACATCCTCAGTGGATTCATAACTCAGTGGTCTTACTCGTACTAGTCTTGTACCAGATATAGGGTACATAGTTCGACTGTTCAGAAAAAGTATTTATAACTATTAAGAAAAATACGGGTAAAACACATGCGGATGTAAATCTGAAATAAATGATTATTTATTATTATTACAACAACAGTTAACAACAGTTATTGATGATTTTTATTAATTAAGAATGCAAGATAGAAAATAGAATAATTTATTGTAACTTTTAAATGCAAATTCTTAGGTATCAGACGGATGTGTTCCACTACAAGTCAATTCAAAATAAATATATATTCACAAAAATACTAAAAACTCAATAAGCGTTTGAAAAATGGATCGTGTTGTAATTATTAATGTGTAAACGCATCCATGTAGGCTGTAGATGTGTGTGTTTAATATTCCTTTCATTTCCGGTTCCGGTAAGTGAAAATTTTGATAATTTTGCATCGCTTCTTAATCAGTATTAGGTAGTTAGGCAGATTAGGATTACACTAAATTGATATATGCTCCTTATTCGCGTATTTACATCAAATTAAACACTCTCCTCCCATGACTCTCATCTTTGTATCAGTCAGTTACCCTCGAGTTAGTATGTTCATGTAGTTAAGACGATATCATGCGTTATTGATCTGATCCCTAAAAGATAAACATTTATGGGATAGTGTTGGTGGCTGTGGCTGACGACCCATTGATTAACTGGTACAAAATATGGTGAATAAGCATTACAGTAATTCCCATTTAAACTGTCAAATACCAAGCGGTCACCGGTGACCGCGACCCATTGTTCTTTAATTGTGTCTATAAAACCGGTACTCGACGAGTTAAACAATTTTCCTAAATAACATACGGCAAAGAATCCGTGAAATAAATCTATTTAAGTGATTTATCAGAAAGTTTGGCTCAATGAAATGGAGCACCACAAACTGAGCGGAGGAGAGTGGTGAAAGTGCACAGCGAGCGACACGTCGCCAGCGGCCGCTGGTTTCAGATATTGCCAAGGTCGCGAGCGCTTTCAACATCTCGAAGACGTACAAGTTCGTTACAAAGGTCGCGAGTACAGGGAGCGCGCTACTCGACAGTTCGACACCCACACGACACGCGAACTATCGTTTCATTGTGTATATCACAATATTTCAAGTGCATACACTTGGGATACCAGTTCGGACGCTGAAAGGCCCTGGATCCTCCCAGGGTTCGACCGGCCAGGTGTTACGAGTGTGGGTGTCATCGACGGCTCGCTAGTTGACCGTGCCAGGTGCGACAAGTGTAAACACCGATGTTATTGTGCGCGCACAATGGTGCGATAAGGGCGCGATAAGCGCGCGCCGCCAGGTGACACTCCTGCCTGCACTGTTCACTGCTGCTTGCTAGAACTAGCCCCTGCAGCGCTGCGTCTGCTGGCCATGCTGATGTTATTCCCTTGCAATTAGTTCCAATTACCTATCCAGATTTGCGACCCGAGATTGCAGAGATACAATTTTGACATAGCTTCATACAAATAGTGCCAAAATGTTATTTGTAATAGGTGTCTAATCCACTAATAGATAGGACTAACCCTTTGACGGTTAGAAAGCAGAGCTGTGGTACTCGGCAGTATAGTAACCTGAGCACTGGTACTTGTGCTAACATTCCGAGTGCCCCAGAGATAAGCATATTTATAGTTAGTATTGCTGTTGAAGTCGTTATATACCTCTCTGCAAGCGCACGATAAGAAAGTAATCGAATGTATGGAAAATTAATTGGATAATTGATTGAGATGACGGCAGTGAGTGGTCGAGGCACAGGATCACGTGGGACTACTAGCCGGCAGTGGGAACTACTCGGTGCCGGCAGCGTACATCTATGCCAATATGCGCATTAAACGCTGCGGTATTTTCGCGCAGGTTTCGGCTAAGGTGAAAGTGTTCGTGTTTTTGAGAAAGGAAAAGTTGCTTATTTTTTGTAAGAGGTATGCGCGGGCGATCGGTGCCGCGGTCCGCGCCCCGCGCCCCCGCTCCCCCGCCGCTCTCTCCCATGAAAGTGAAACCTGCCGCTGACTCGGACCAAGGTTTTGGCAGTGACACCTTTCGAGGCTCTGGCCACCGATGTAGCGCGGTGTAGCGCGGTGTAGCACGGTGACGCTGCTTCGTACCTTTACAACATTCTTTTTCATTTGTAGTTCTTTCCTATAAATGCGGCTGCATTGCATGCCTTGGAAAACTTATAGATAATAATTAAGAATGCACATTATTACTCAGGCGCTTTGTTTTAATAACATGTTGGTCGATGTATGAATAAATACATAATATGAACTGTACAAAATGAAATAGTGCATTGAGATACACATAGTTTTACAGCACATATAATTTATTTGTTTAGTAGTAGATTATAGTATTAAAACCTTATATTCAAACTTTGAGTTTGATTTGTTAGGTACGTACGATTTCCTTACAATATTAATGTCACATATTACACTGCTAGTGGTTGCGTGCTAGCCGACTAGTAGGTATTTATAAACAATTCTCCTTTTCGAGTTTTTAATACAAGCAAGCATTGGAGGCGTTGAAATACTTTCACGAGCCAGAGACTCGAGCGAGTCCTTGACTTTGAGTTTAGATGAGACGACGCCGGCGCCGGCGCCGCCCCGTTCTGAATGAAACGATAAACGTACAAGGAGAGTGTGTTCGCTTGTGCTCTGCTTGCTTCGCTATCGTTTTCTAACTAAATATAAATAACAATGGCAAATGATGCCGTTACAATTAAGCAGTAATTAACAATGCGGGTTCAAGTGCGCACGACGATAGCCTCGAGGGTTATCGCACACACGCATACACCTACACACACGCACATACGTCGCACGCGACTCTTACATACTTACTTCCTTTGCTAATTCGTGAATTGGATTCTGGGCGTGAACACTTTCGTCTGTTGTTCCTCATAGTCGCAGTAGTCTGGAACAGTGCTCGGAGGATAGTGCCAGGCTGTGATGCTAGTTCAGTTTTGCCCCAGAGTGTACCTATTACATGGAACTCTTAACATTACTGCCTGGTTTTCCGAGTGGGTCCGGGTCAAACGGTATAACGTCATCGATTTTCATGAACACGACCTGTCCTAAGAGGGCCCCCTCTTAGCACCTCTTAGCAAAGAAACATAATTATATTATTATTCATTTTTGAAAAAGGTATAGAGGTGTGAAATTGATCACCATCAAAATTGAACAGATGCATTAATTTATTTTCTATTTATAATTTTTATGTAATGACGTCAAACATGTAAAGTTATATTAAAGTTGATGTGAAGTTCGGTTCTTGTTTAGAACAATGCTTTGTTTTGTAGTTAATATTTTGTGATATTTTATCATTTTAGGATCTCTCTCTCTCGCTTGGTTGCACCATTTTTTTAATAACATGCCTTGAGTACTCCACTCCATGTTGAGTTGAATGAAAAATGAAAAATCATCGCACTTGTTTTTGTGTCATTGTTAAAAGAAAAACATATCAATGCAAAAACAAAATCAATGGTCATACTAGTTGAAATGTTACGTGGTTTGAACAAGTTGTAGACGAAATACTAACCGTCTTATAATTCAAAATAGATTTTCTTTCTTTATTTACCCTGAGTCGTCATAAGGGAACCCAACAGTTGCTTGAGCTCTGGGACACCCTGTATATAACAAGCACATAACTAGACCCCGGACTATATGCAGAATAAAAGGCCCAAAACTTGCACCGAAATGGCTTAAATATGCGTCAAAATACGCACTAAGTCTGATCGTATTGGTACCCAAAGTTTAAGAAAATCCACAATATTGCCAAGAGTAACATGAAGTCTGTCGCTAGGTGGCAGTGGTACGTGGTCCAGGGCAGATTTGACAAAATACTTCAATTCCGAATTTGTGACTACATGTTGGGCCTAACTTTCTTGATACTAGCAATGGACACTTCGTTAGTGTCGATCTTATAATTTACAGACCGAAGCATTGGCAATAAATGTTTTTTTTTATTCTAAAACGTTCAAAATGTTTGTGCGTTAATGCCATAACATACAAAGTTTTATATTTGTCAAATATATATCCAGGTAGTGAATCTGTCAACTTGTCAACGTGGATTAGTTTACGTGTACAAAGTACTTGTTACTGTAAGATTTCCTTAAATCGAGAAAATGTAGTTCGTAACTCAACAAAATTGTAAAATCTATCAACTGATACACATCTGTACAGTGCGGTCAATGTGTGTGTGTGTGTGTGTGTACTGTGCACATTTATTGCATGTAAGTGTGCAGTTTTATCAGGTGTTGTGTTTCATTACTGTACGGACTGCGATCCATTGTGACGTCAATCTCAGATATTTCTATTGAAAACTGTAACTTAGAAAAATATTCCTAGAACTATGAAGAATCTAAATTGATAAACATGCGCCAGAGACGATCTGTGTTTGTATTATTAGATGAGATCGCCCCGTGGTCGCGCCACTAGTTGCCGCCACTAGTTGCCGCCACTGGTTGCCGGCGAGCACTACACCTTGCGCTCTACTCAAGCAAACATTAACAAAAATCGTAGATTCTTAGCGTTTTAGCGATAAGTTTACAATGCTTGCTGACTCTAATGTTAGGATTGTTGTGAAATTCCTGAAAAAACTATGAGAGAGTGCGGTGTGAGTCAACGGCAGCTGGTGCGCGCCGAGTAAACACCATTGTAGTCGATATCGCTGCACGCGCAACGACCCCCCTCCCCCCCGTACACGTTGCCGAGTACATGCACCTACTGCCTGCAAGCTATGGAGAACCATTAACCGCCCCACTGCACCATCTATCCGTTTACTCATCTTCCTTCACTTACTACCCCGCCACGCTAGGCGCTATTTCGTTTAAAAGTCCCATCAGTCCATGGCATCTTCAATTCAATAATGTAAAAAAGTTAAATTAAAAATTAAATTCATTTTCATAAAAGGACATGCTTACTTCACTTAAATATGAGAAACTTAATACATCTACATTACATCTTATAAAACTACATTTCATTATATCGTTCAAAATGTCGAGTACAATATTCATATACTATTATTATTGTTGTTTAGCTAGATACAACTTCAATCTATTTTTAATCATGTTTATTGACGTGGAATCTCTAACTTCTTTTGGTAATCTATTATAAAGCTGTGCTCCCTAAAACAGAATAGTTTTTCTTCCATACTGTGTTCTCGGTCGCTCTATTCCTAGCATCATACTGGTATGTTTTTCATTTGAAAATGATTTGTGTGTACATTAACGTCCACGGTATCAATTCGTTTCTTACATACTCAATGTGTTGTCTGATGCAGAATTGGGTCTCAGTACTTCTCATGGTATGATCTAACTAGTTGCTGGTCATGAACTGTAAGAGAAGGAAAATCAGGAATCTTTTTGTTTCTAGGAGTAAATATTATACAAGATGAGGTTCAGTAAGTTCCTCTTAAACCACGTATTTGAGATATTGAGCACTATTGTGCTTTAGTGGTAACTTCAATAATATTTTTTTATTATTAATTTATTTATTTACAATTTACAACAGTAACAATATTTTGCACCGAATAGTGAACATGTAATACAAAAAATATTTACATTTAATAATCTGAATTATGAATACAACAAACAAAACAATCAATTAACTTGTACTTATATACTTCTAAAATAAATTAACAATTCAAATAGTTCACACATTGTAATAACACCATTAAAAAATAAGTCTGCACCTAGGTAGCTCTGTAAAAGATCATTAATAATTATAACAATCGCCCGGCCCGTCGGACAGTTACCAGCATGGGTAGACCACCAGCGCCAGCTCGGTGGACAAGTAAGTAGTCGTGACGCCGCCTGCCAGTACCACGCTCCATGACTGACATTAATATGAATGTAGACAATACTGAAATGTAAGCCCGACCAAGCATTCACAATCACAATAAATTATACTAATCATATAATTTTGTTCAATTCGATTTAAAAATAGCTAATGATTGAGGGTATTTCATTATATGTATACTTATTACTGCCTGCAACTAGCCCCCCCCCCCCATTAACCCGTGCTAATGGGTTTAGTTCCAAGTTCCCCGTTGTCAGCCAACCCGGTGCGGTGGGGTAGGTGTGTTTTCTTAGCAACCCATTCCGACTGCTTTTTCCGACGATTTTTCCAATATGTTATATTTATTAGAACTTTCTCTTGAATGTAACAAATATGACAAGGAAAATTGATCATTTTGATATGTATGAGGTATAGAGATGGTATAATCGTTTAGACAATATATTTTCAAGACGTTGCAATATGATTTATTTTAAATAGTTATCCCGGGGTCGGTATCCCGATACAATATCACTACTGTATAACCCGGCCGTAGCCGACCGACAAGTTTTTTGCTTCCTGCAAAAGACTTCAACGCGCGCTTTAAATATGTTATTACACCCTGGATACTTGCAATATTTTTATCTGCTTTCATTCTTACACACATACATGACCCCACACCTTTTAACCCTCGGGGTAGGCAGAGGTATATATTAAATGTAATATCTTATTTTACTATCTATTCAGTGTTGATTATAACAGTGGGCAAGTAATTGTTACTGTGTATTATTTTATGGAGACGCATTTTTCTGAAATAAGTACAATGTTGTAACGAAACGAATTTAGCAGCCTAATTTAATATTGCAACTGCTTATATTCATAATGATTAATCAGTACGTGTAAAGTGATTACGTGATGATGATGTTAGCGCTGCAGTGGGCTCGTATAACCTAGTTGTCGGCTTTGTTTACAAGCGGCGTGCGACACGTGCTCTCTTATGTACACACGACGTGCGCAGCAGGCGCGAGCGCCAACAGTAATCAGTTATCGGCAGCGGCGGCGAGAGTGATCGCGCATCGCGGCTATTATGTCACCGCAATTAAAAACTGAGTGTTGCGTGCTCGGAAGTATTGGTCGAGCTGAGTGGGGGAGGGGGGGGCGCGCGGCGGGGCGCAGTAGCACGCGGACCCGCCGCTCGGCAGTCGCGCGCCGCACGCCGCCGCGCTTGCACGCCGCGTCCTTCGCGCCCACCGCGATGAGTGATCACTGAGCGAGCGCGTCCCGAACGCCTCGACTCGACCCTATGGAGTATCAGCACCAACCCATTCAGCCGCTGGGCCCGCCGGCGCCGCCGCCCCAGTTGCTGCCGCCCGCGCCCCCGCCGCCGCTTCCTTCACTGCCCCAGCTGCAACACGGCCACGCTCAGGACGACGACCGCTGGAACCAGTACCACATCTGGAGACAACACGTCTTCGTCAACGGTCAGTGGCATCTCACAGCGTCGACACTTGACCAGGAAGCGCACGCGCACTTTCTCCGTCGTGGCACTCACCCGCTCAGATTTGTGATTGATGCTGCCCCCGAGTGAGAGAGCCGTGAAAAAAGAGAAAGTGCGCGGGCGCCAATATCAACGAAACTTTTCGGTCGATCGCGAGTTCTTTGTTTCGGCAACGGGGCCTTTCACTCGGCACCGGTGGACTATCTGGCTCCTCGGTTCCTGGGCACGTCAGCTCGGCAGCAGCCTGGTACGTCACCCTGCGCCCGTTGTGTGTCCGGGTCTCTGTACTGGAGGATGCGCCTGGTACACGTGTCGCTCGCTCTGTCTGCGATCTGTTATCACCAAGACACGTGTTCTTGTGTCACATTGGGAGAGATTCTGCTTCGTGCCGATTGATATCAAACATGATCTCAGTTCATTGTCTATTTCTTATATATGTATTCCCTAACAATGTGTAGGCTGTACGGTTTGACTTGGACTCCGATGGCGGAAGGCACTTCGACCTTAAACCCGATTAGTTCGGAAGGTAGGAAACCGTAGCAGTGCTCGGGCCTCGCACTCGCCGGAACGTTCCGCTAATAACATTATAAACGATATCTTTGTAAAACTAAACGCTGAGTGAGTACACTGGCGGCGCACTAAACTCGTTCCAATTCATTGGCTGACTGTACATAGTGTGCCTGTAACATAACTCCAGCTCTGGAATAGAGGCTGCGAATACAACTCACTGAGCACTCGGTGAACCCTGGTGTACACTAGTAGAGAAGATGGTGGAGTACTTACTGACCCACTAACGGACCAACGTAGACGGCATTGGTAGATTAGAGTACCACTATTTGAAAGCTACTTACTCTACTCTACCACTCTCACCTACTGCGTCCTCAACCAAAATTTCAGTCCTTTTAGAGGAAATTCGTTAGAAAATAGAAAACTATTCCCAATGTTAATCGTGGCTATCCTCACATTTCTTCTTACAATTTCCTGAGAAGTATCAACGATGGCGTTCTTTAGCTTCTGTAGCGTTTCTTACAATAATTACGATCTCAACGAGCGATGTAACTACGAAGAGTTTAGTACACTCTGACCTTACCCTTACTCTCCCAAAACTAGTAGATTACTTGGTAAGGGTAGAGTAGTATGTTGACTCTACTGTTTGCAAGGCCCTAGTACGCCAGGCTTCACCTGGACTCCAGTAATTCATATTCTGGACAACGTTGCATTTGTCTTAAAGAAGGATCAATTTGTACTTCGTACTGCTGGGGTTGACAGACGAATTGTTATTACATATTGCGAAAGTTGTCAAACTTGACGTATAGAAAAACCTATCGAATAAATCATCCCTATAATAAGGTGCAGTGCAAAATGTAACATGCCTGGGAATATTCTTGTATCGCAGGCTACGGGACGTACGACCAAATAAACTATTCAGCTCCGCAATTTGTCGGTCGATCAATCGAATAATACTAAATACGTCCAAGTTGCATAATTATTTTGATTGTTGCAATCGTTAGTTGCCCATAATGGAGCTCTGGACAATTTATTTATATTTGTCATTTATGTTTTCGTCAATTGCTTACAGATTACAAATTATTTCGAAACTTAGTTTCCGTTAGTAAGGGTCATGGTATAGTGTCTCGGAGACATACAGGCTGCTCGAACGCGGTGACATCGCAACACTTCTTTAATTATATTCCTGTTGGGCAATACTTTGATGTGGCTCCAAAATCAAGAGAACACTTTTTTACCCGCGGTTTTGGTCGGGTTGAATTCGGAATATTATCTACTTCTTAAAAAACCACATGAAAAACGCTTGCAAAGTTTTAAAGATCTTAGCATACACAGGGACAGACAGCTGAAAGCGACTTTGTTTGATACTATGTAGTGACTTCTTACCTTCAGCTTTATTAACATACAGAATGACAGTAGCATACATACATAGAGGATCTTAGGCACGGGTCACATCCTAAATTCTTTGATATTCGTGAGTACTATGGTTTATGTGTTACAGTGTGACAAGCACACTCACTTTCACACAAAATCAAATAAAATATCCTCACACCTAGCGAAACGTGACGTCCAGTATGCGATACAGGGATACAGCACCACCACGATGTACCTTATCTGTACAGTTCACAATATAAATGGAGACATTCGTCTCTTATATTGTAATACTAACTAATAGCTGTTAGTATATCTTTTTTCTATATTGTCACAGTACCAAGTAGCGAACGGCTTCTAATCGTAACTATTTCAATAAAATAGAACCAAATAGACAAAAAAAGTCTCCTAAAGTCAAAAATGAAGAATGCACACGAGGGGCAAGATTGGTTGAATGGGGGATCTGGGGGCCATATGCCCCTTTCCCCCCAACAGATCCCCAACCAGATGGTCTCACCAGCTCAAAGATAACCCAGCATCGAGATTCTACACCGTAGTGCAAATTGCAGTCGACCGAAACCGATGGAGACAATTGGTCCGATCCTGATTGATGCCGGGGTGATGAGAAAACGATC